GGGTCTGTGCCCACTGGAGGAGAACGCGGGCAGCAGCACAAAGTGCAGGCCCCAGGGAGGAGCAGGACCGGAGCAGTGCTGGCAGGGCTCTGCTGCAGGAAGCAGGTAGCTTAAGCAAAGGTTTGTTGTCTTTGGTGGGCACGAACGCTGGGGTGGGCACGAATGCTGCTGCGTTCAGGGAAGGAAAGAAGCCAAGCTGAGGTTGTCCCTGGTGTTGATTGTGACTCTCACCAGGGCTTCACCACGTGGATCTGACCCTGGCCCTAGTGTTGCCCATTGCCTGCACGGCTCGGTGTTGGTACTTCAAGGGGAACATGATGGATGTGTGTGTGAAGAGACATCACCGTGGTGAGAGTCCCTTTGCTGAAGTCTCGTTGTTGCTGGTAGCCAGGGTTGGCTGCTCTGTCTCCATCACAGCCATGTGAGAGGTTTCTTGTGTGTCAGCCAAGCCACTCTTGTTCCGGCAGAAGGCCGGTTACATCAGGTACCTGCCTGGTTGTCCGAGGGCTGTTGTGCAATGTGCCTGTGCCTGGCCCCACTGCTGGAGCACCTGGGGCTGGAAATGGGCTGCAGGAGCCATTGCCCCATTGCAGAGCATGGAAGCAGAGTGGCCTCTGTCCCAAAGAGAGAGCTCAGCCTGCAGGGACCTTGGCCAGGCACAGAGCTGTGTGTGCACCCGGGAGCTGAAACTGTGTCTGCACAGGGCACAGGAAGTCTGTGGGAGGAAGCAGATGTTGGCTTGCAGACTTTCATCCCTTGTGGTGATTTACTGGTCCCCAGCTTTGTGGGGACATCTTGTGAGCCCCTGCCTGGCCAGAGGCCCTCAGCCAACCCAACCTCCTACCAGCTCTCCTCTGTCTGCATCTGGCACAGCTGGCAGCTCCTTCTTGCCCAGTTCTTCACCGTGTGGTTTGATTGCCTTCGTTCCAAAGCAGTTTGGGGTGGTGCATGCTGCAGGATGCTCCTGACGGAGAAGTGCCACAGCTGCATGGTGCAGCCTGGTGGCTCCCAGGGGAGAGGTGCCTGTGCCAGATTGGTGCCTTTACCTACCGGAGGTGGGCTCAGAGAAGCATCTGAGTCATTTGGACTCATTTCTGCCCAGTAAGTTTCAATTTGCAAGGCAGGAGGAAGAGACAGAAGCAAAATCCACTGCCTGTGTTTCCCAAGGAGTGTCATGGCTGCCAGCACCGGTGTCATGAACTGCACGGCCTTTGCAGCTCTTGTCCAAAGGGGTGGGATGGCTGGAGGTGTGCCTGCCCACTGTACGGACCCCACACAGAGCTGAGGTGACCAACACCTCCTCCCAAGCTGACAGTGGGGGATGTTTGACCTGAAAATTGCCAGGAAAGCCTGGAAAGCAGAGCAAATCGTCCAGAGAGTGCGCGGAAGGCATTGTGGGCTGCACAGGAGTGGGTGGCAGCAGCTCCATGGGGCCATGGTCTCAGTCGGGAGACTTGGCTTTCAGGAGCAGCATGGCTTCACAGACGGAAGAAGAAAATTTTGGCTTGGAAGAAGCTGTCTTGCTTTCAGGGTCTGCTCGCCCGCTTTAACGTTTGAGGGCATTTAGCCAGCTTGCTTTCTGGTGTGGGGGATTCGGATTCACACTTCTGTGGTGCTTGTCTCCTCCCTGTCTTTTTTTGCAGTCCATCTGGCTGGTTGATAGCACTTCAGGCTTCCGCGCAGTCACCCCCATCCGTGACCCACCCGCTTCTTCCATTAGGATTCATTTTTCGGGTTAGGATTTTGGGTCTTGCCTGGTGTGGAGGACACTGGGGAGTGGAGAGATAGGGAAAGGATGACGTCCTCCTAGCCGGCAAGTGAGGAATGGGTGTCCTCTCCTCGGGAAGGCATTTAAGCACACTTTGTTTCCAGGAGTTCAACGGGATCTAAACAAGAGGTTAATTACTCTGTGGAATTAGGGATGCTTTTCAGAATCTCTGGTAAATGGAAGGGATAATAAGTCAAGGCTGCTTAAAACTCTTTGTCTTTTGTTTAGTTTTAGTGCTTGTCAAACTCCAATGACTTGTTAGCACTTTGAAGAAAAGACATCTTGGTTAAATACTCAGCAGTCCATTCATTAAGGTTTGAGTGTTGACTATAAACACCATTTGAGACACCCAATAGATCTTCAGCAAACTCAACTGAGACCAGCCTGGTGTTCCCCAGCATCCCAGGATAAAAAAGAAACAAAAAAACCCCTTTTCTGCCTCCTCGCTTCTGTTTCTTTTAGCTGTTCAAAAGGAAAGCAACCCTAGAAGTTTTCCACATACTTTGTAAAGAAGCAAAAAGAAAGGAAAAGCCTAATTAAGAACATAAATGCTTTGCCAGTAAACTATTTTTTTGTTAATTGATTACTTTAAGTCTTCTGGAGGCTGACATTTCCAGGCTTGCTTCTTGCAGTGGAGGATGGAGAGGTGGTCATCTGTCTTAATGTGTGCAGGTAACACCCAAGTTTTATTTTGCAGACATCCCTGACTTTGCCCATACTTTTCCATCTCCCATCCCTTAATGGGGCTGATGTTTCTGATTTCTGCAAAAAAGAAACAGTTTTGCTGTTGGAAAGTACGGCAGTCCCAATCCGCACTACTGCTTGTGGCACTGGACTTCATCCGATTTAGTCCTGGCCTTGGCAAAATGGCCACAGGTGTTTCTCACTGCCAAGGGTTTGGCTTTTTCCCTTCAGAATGTTCCTCTCAAGGCTGAAATAGCCCCCCAGAGCTGCGCTTTCTCTTTAAATGTAAAAGCAAGAACAACCCTTGATCTCCTTTCCACGAGCCTTTGAGTTTGTTGTCTCAGCACTTTAAATTAAGCCTCATACCTCAGTTACTTCCCTTTCCTTTTAACCAAGCCCCACGTGGTGAGGAGCAGCTGCGTCACCTCCCCGTCCCCCTTTCGGCTCCTTCCTTGCTGACCCCCTGGCCGTGCCAGCCCTCCCTGCCCACCCATTTTGGCTGTGGCTCTGGAGGTCACACCCCTCCAGCCAGGCTTGGGTCGGAATATTCATCCAGGAGCCGCTCATCCCCGTGACAAAGTGATGTGGGTGCAGAGCAAGCCGGGCTGGTGAGGTGGGCACGTGAGTGGTGCCCAGTGTAGATGCTGAGGCCAGGGTGCCCAGACCCAGGTGTGGGTGCTGGGAGGGCAGGCGAGACCTGCCAGATTGATGTTTTCCGGGTATTTTTTTATTGCAGTGGAGCCTGGGTGTTGCCCTGACATATTCCCAGGGTCTCAGGTTCTCACTTACACCCTGCCAAATTTTGGGCAGGAGGAATCCAGGCGAAGAAGCTTGTATGTGATCGGGGAGGGAGGGAGGAAATTTATGTGAAAACAGCAAAAGGGGATCCAGAAAAAGGCCAAGTGTTACTGTCAAGTTGTGCTGTTGCGTGGATGACGGTATTTTCCTAGGCCTGGGGTGTATTTATAGAGGAACATAAATCATACACACATGCCCTGTTCGGAGCGCCGCACACCTCCGGTGTATGTATCTCTAATTAACCAGCCATGGAGGGGGAAACAGGATTGGAGCCCGCAACCCCAGCACTGTTCGCCAACAAAGCCGTGCTCTCCGTCCTCGCGGTGCCTACATTTATCTTTCCTGCAGCAGTGTTTAAAGTGAAAAGGGAGTATCAGGAGAGTTTGATAGGATCCAATTAAATTCCAGCAGATAAAATAATGATGAATTGCAGTTGAGCCCTGGCGAGACGCGATGTACATTACTGCCGTCCCCGTAGTGCGGGAAGGAGTTGAGGTCATCAACTACAGAAAAATAGGACACAGCTGCAGCCCAAGCCCTCCTCCAGAAACGCAGCCCAGGGGGAAGGGGCATGTGAGAGGGAGGGGGGTTGCAAGGGAAATTTGGACGTGTAGGTTTGCTTGCAGAGGGCAGAGGAGCAGCTCCTCTGCTGCCTTCCTTGGGGAGCGGGGTCCCTCCCTTCCTTCACGTGCTGGGTTGTGGCTGGGGGTGGGCGGGTGCGGATGCCAGGTGGCAAGGGGTGTGATGGCCGTGGGGCCACCTGGGCTGGAAAGGGCTAGTGCCTTTGGCTAGTTGGCATGGTGCTTGTAGGAGCATCTCAAAGTGCATCTTGGTGCCATCTGCCCTTGGAGTCAGAGTGCCCCCTTGCTGGCTGCGGCTCTGCCCCCACAGAGCACGGCTCCCTGGAGGTGCCTTCTTGGAGAGCTGAGTGCCTCACCCCAAGGGGACCTGGTCAGCTCTCAGTGCCCAGCGCTGCTAGCTGGTGGGTGAGCAGTGGGCTTGCTGAAACCAAATGTGAGACCTTCAGCAGAGGTGGCACCCACAGCCTTTGTAGTGTGCTGGGCTGGTGAGCATCTCCTGCGTGGGAATGAGAATTGGAGCCATGAGAAGCAGACGAGGTTGTTGGCTGTTACTTGGGAAGATGCCTGAGCTAAGTTGTGGGTGAAGAGCCTTGAGAAAGGCTTGGTGAGGAGTCCTCTTCCCTGAAACACATCCCTGCAGAAGAAGACCTTGCTGGGAATAGCCATGTCCAGATAAGTGGGGCTGGCACGTCCCCCATCAGCCCTTCCACGTTCACCTGGTAGACTGGCTGGGTTGGGTGAGGAGCTCACATCTCTGCTGCTGACTCACTCGATGACATCCTTTCTCCCATCCCCTTCCGTGGACCATGCTGCGTGAGAGCGCTTCTATTTTGGGTGCAGTTGTTTTGCTCTCAGGACTGTGCCTGTCAATTCCTGCTCCCAGAGCAAATATCCCTTTCCCATAACTTGTCCTCGAGGCAGGGACCATGCCGCATCATCCTGTGGTGCAGCCAGGGGGTCCCGGGCACCTCTGTAGTGTGACTGGTGGTCTGATAGCAGGGCTGCCTGGGTCGGTGCACCCCCTTCTCACGACCCCCCGGCCTCCCCTCCTCTCCCACGGCTCATCCCAGTTGATTAACCGGGAAGTTAATAACAGTTAAATGTTTAATGGATGTTCATCACTGTGTTAGCTAGAAGCAGGGAGGAGCCAGCGTGGTGAGACCTGCTGGCTGCCCGTGGGCTCTTCTCTGGATCCCATGGGATGGAGACTTGTAAACGCCCCCCTGCCCAATCCCCACCTGTTTTGGAGCCTTCAGAGCCGGAAAGCGGCTGCTGTTTTGCTCAGCTGCTGCACTGTGGATGCTGCCATCTCCCTGGCTGTGACTGTGCCCGTGGGTGGAGAGGGCACCTTCCTGCCCACGCTGCAGCACAGCCAACTGCCAGGAGGCCTTTAGAAAACGTCCTTCCAAATAAGAGGTTCTTTGGACATTAGAGCGGGACCGGGTGGACCTCGGCATCCCATGAGGCTGAGCCCTGAGCTCCTGCGGCTGCAAACTGCTGCCGCGTGGGGCCACCAAAGCCACTGTTCCAGCTCCATCATCCCACAGGGACCAGTGATGGCATCCAAGCCACGGGTCCCATGCCTGTCTCTGCAGGGCAGGTGAGACACTGCTGACGGAAACACAGACGCTGAGGATGCATTTTTTATTGATATCCACGTTCCCTTGGTGATCCCAGGCCATGAATGCCAGCCAGGGCCATGACTCCTGCTCCTGCCCACCGCTTCCCTCAGCGTGCTGCCACGCTCCTGGCTGCTCCCCGCCATCTGCTCCAGCTCCACACTGCGACGAGTTCAGCGTCCTCAGCACGGTGGCTTGGAGGGAAGGCCCTGTCCTTTCCCAGACGGATACCTTTCCCATGTCTCTTGTGCATGTGCTGTCTCGGGGCTGGTGCATGAAGAGTTAATGCTCTCCCTCCCTCTTCCCCTATTCTTCTTCCTCCAACCCACCTCCCAGAAGAACTAATTTCCAAAAGCAGCCAGGGCAGAGAGATGCAAATAAGTGTTTTGGACAGCTGCAGGCTGGATGCCTTCCCGAGATGCCAGGGCCCCAAATGAGACATGTCAGAGTACAAATTGAAAATGCCAATTTCACTTACGCTGCCACGTGGCTCGTCACAGCTAAATTCTGCTCCGGCACCGCCGTCACCCTGCCCGGCACACGCTCCCTCCTGCTGCCAGGGGATGGTCTCTGCATGTGGCTGTAGGTCTGGCCAGCTCCTTGTCAAGGTCCTGTTGGAGATATCCCTGGGTGGGTGTAGGATAGGGAAAGGGGAACGGATCTGGACACCCAGCCCAGTTCTGACTTCGTCTTTCCAGGCCTGGTGATGAGAATGTTGCTGAGAGGCTCTGGTTGCAGATGGTGTGTGGTGGAGATGTGGCTGAAGGTCCTCCAAGCAAACATCACAAGAAGTGCCATGACCAAGAGGCTGCGTGGGAAGTGGTGGGACTTTTCCTGGAGTGGGGAGATGGTGATGGAGCTGTTGAGTGCTCAAGAAAGGGTGGAGCTTGCAGTTCGTTGTCTCATGCCTTACAACTGCTGTGTATGGTTCTTCCTCCCCTGTGTTTGGGTGTGGTGGTTCCTGGGTGTAGGACCACTAGCTAAAAGCTGTGGAGGTGTAACCCAGGACCAGGCTTAGCCTCTTATTTGCCCCTTGTGGGGTTGAGAGGGGGGTGTGTTGCCGTAGCCATGTCTCATATAGGGCGTGTGCCCCATTTCAGTGCCGTGTCTGATGCTGGATCACAGCTGGTGGTGCTGCTTCAGCTGGGAGAGACTTGGCACGGGGGGGACCAGCCTTCCAGTGAGGCGAGAAGGACCCAAACATCTGTAGCTTTCTGCAGCTATCTGGGCATGCTGACTTCTCTCGTGGGCCATGTCCCTGCCTCCTGTGGATGAGATCGAGCAGAGCAGACCCACTGGAGTGGTCCCTGGTGCTAGGAGGGACAATGTGCTCTGTCAGGCAGGAGCTGGGGCAGTGCTGGAGGAGGTGCTGAGGCCACCTGCTCCAGGTATGGCACCAGGGCTGCAAAAGGTGATGCTCAGGCTGGCTGGAGGTGGTGGCAGGGCTGTGGCCAGCCCATGGCCGGGTGAGCTGCTGCCGGCGTGTCCGCTGCTCTCTAACAAACTCCAACAACCCATGAATCATTCATTTAATCTCTCCTGACATGCCTGTCATTTTCTCCGGCGAGAAGCAGGGAATCTCTTGCCGAAGGAGGTCATTAGCTGTCAGGGACGGTTCCGACTGCCTTCCTGCCTCTGTATCGATTAAACCTCTCCGCCTGCGTGCAGGGGCTGTGCGGGGAATATTGATGGGGCTGCCGGGGCTGGGGCTTGGGTGTTGAGGCAGGGGAGAGGGCTTTGGGTGAGGAGGAGGCACTGGCTGGGCTGGGAGGAGCAACGGAAGTGGGTATGTCTGGGCAGCAACACGTGCTGGGACCTGAATTTAGGGTCCCTTGGAGCTGGGGGGCAGGATCCCCCAGTGTCACCTCCCTACATGGGAGCTGAGGGAATTGGGGTGGTGGTGCTGGTCTTGGAGTGAGATATAGCTGGGGGTGTGGGGCTGGGAGTGGGGCAGCTGGGGATGTGGTGTGGAGGTGTGTGGGGGGAAGAAATGTTCTCCTGAGGTCTTTGGGAGGGCTGGTGTGGTACCAGGCTGATGCCTGGCTCTGTCCCACCCATGGCTCTGTGGCTGCAGCTTTGTCATTGTGTTATG